TCATATTTTAAAGAAAGACACATGTAGCTTTTTCTCATTTCTTCCACTTCTTCTTGTCATGCTGAAATCAGAAACTATGCAGATGTATGTACACTAAAGTATGGATTTAAAAGTAACCAAGCCACCAAATAAGATGTTTTAATTGGCTGCAAAGTTATTCCAAGTTGGAGACATGTTAGTGGTCAGTGACACTTCTGATTCCCCTTCTCTTCTCCTAAAATGAAGCAGTCTGAACTTTTTAATTTTACATTTCCCAAAGCATTTGGATTTCTAAGGTACAGCCTGAAAAAGAGGAAAATTGTCCTGAAGAGAGTGGTATTCCTAGGAGTATCTTCTCAAGGGAAGCTTCAGAACAGCAAGTGTGGAGAAAGAGAATATATCCTGGAGGCTGAATGCTAAGGATTGACATGCACAATTCAAACTCTGACTGCAACTTGTGGATTAGGGGTAATGTTTGCCGCTAAAATACTTAGAATTTGTCTATAAATAACACCACAGCAGATAGTTTAAGAACTGTGCATCACACGAAGGTATGTTGACTATAAAAGGCTACGGAACTCTTTTAAGGTTTTACTTCTGGGTACCATGCCATGGACTCCTCAGATCTTTGTGGGCAGTAGGAATTTCTCTATTACCTTACAAGTGGAGTGAGTCTGTTCTGTTTGATTCATCATCATGCAGAAGCAGGGAAACATGATTTAAAGTCAGGAGAGTGGAGTGCAGGGCTGAGAGGAATTGCTCATGTATGGATAATTGCTAAAGCGTGTTTACCTCTCCTCTTCGTAATTGAAATGTTCCATAAGGTAAATAAAAACAATAGGAGTAAAGGGAAAAATTTGCTTTTTATTTAGAAGTAGACATGGATGCAAATGGAGGCAGCAACCTTAAGCTCTTACTCTGCCTTTGCTGTGAAAGGAACAAAGAAACAAACTGGTGTAGAGCCAGGAAAACAGGAAAATGTTATTCCATCCAAATGACTGATGCAGTGTCTCACTTGCTGTGTGTGTGTGTGTGTGTGTGTGTGTGTGTGTGTGTGTGTATTTGTAAGTTTTAACTAATTTATTTTTTCAGTTGTCATTGTTTAATTAGTTTACAGTGCAGAGCACCTCACTCTCCCATGCCCCCCACCTCCTGCTGGTCAGAGTGGGTGGGGCTTGGCCTGTGGCTTCCATACTCCCCTCCCTGTCCTTGGTGTCCTTCCTTCCCTGCCCCCCCCCATGGGCTGCGACAACTTGCCTCAGTGTCCTCTCTTCTCATTCAGCAGTCACTCTCCTCCAGGCTGCTGAGCTGCCTGTCCCCTGCCTCTGGCTCTTCAGCTGTTGCTGCCACTCCATTGATGAAGGTGGTACCCTCAGGTAGCTAGGATACAGGAGAGAAGGATCCAGGACCAGGATCAATATCCCCAACCTCTCTAAACCCTAGGTAATGGTGTCGAGCACAACAAGCCTTCCTGAAGATTCCATCTTCAGCTCTGCCATTTTTTTCCAGAGACATAACAGCTGTCAATCGAACAGCTCTTGTCACCCTGCCCCCTGATGGAATCTTTGTTGTGATAGCTGCACTACCCTAGAACTCTAGCCCCTGAACACGGAGGCCAATCACCAGCCTTCATTTGGGCCAATCAGCAGCCTGGATTTGGACCAATTACAGACCAACACTTGAACCAATCACAGGCCTGCAGCTGATATATAAGCAGTACTCCCTGGCCACTTCTCGAATTGATCTATGGGGGCCCCTGTAGTGTATCAATCCCTGTGTACTATAGTACAGGCCATCCTAAAGACTGGCTTTGGTGGTCCTCAAAACTTGCTTGTGTGATTTATTTCTCAGTAGTGTGGACCCCGAAGTTCATATCAATTTACTCAAGTTGTTCTCACTAGTCTGGGTGAGTGGTTATCCCAAAGGGGTGGGGGGACAAAAAACACCAGGGCTGTTATGAAGTGATTCAGGAACCACAGAAGATCACCAGTAGAAACCAGCATGGCAGAGCCTCTCAACAGTGTTTGTCTGAAGCTGGCACTGAGTGACAGCAGCCAGCACTTGGCAGTCAACCCATAATGTCTGGTATGAGTCAGCGGCAGCCAGTGCAGTGGTGACCGACAGCCAGGTTGGTTGCCAGCATTATCCAGTGTCATCTGGTGGCCTCAGGCTTGCTAGCAGAGCTCAGTCTCATCAGTTCCTGATTCCTGCCTGGCCTGAGCCAAAGGATCCTCTTCTGGTTGGCAACAGAACTGTACTCAAGCCTTTGTGTTAGGGCATCAGCAGCAGCCTTCCTGCTTAGGTGCTTAATTTAAATATGGCCTGATTACTACTGCATGGAGAGGGAAATGATGGTCAATGCTGATTTTTCCATAGACTGGTAAACCTTAGACCAGTGGTGTCACATTTTTCCTACTTGGATTCCTAAAGAAAGGGACATTCAGCAATCTTACCTACCTGCCTGTAGCAATCATATTTTGTCAACTCCTCCAAATGCCCATTTTTATTTTTCTTTACACAAAGTTAAGACATTGTAAAACAACTTTCAAAAAAAAAA